CATATCTACGCGTAGATCATGATGTTCTGTTAGAATCGCTGAAAACTGTTTTCCAAAATTCGCAGCGGGTAGTGTACAGCATCGATTTCTGTGGACCCAGTAGCTGTCAAAACTTTCACATTTTTACGAATAACTCGGAAATCGTAAATTTTTCAGGTAAAACGTTTGACACAAACTTAACTTAAATTTCGACGACAAATCTGAAAATGAATGAAAAAAGGGGCGGTTCCATTTAAAAAACCAAAGTTGGTAACTACCACACGTTTATGATACACCCCGTATATTGGAAAGTAATTTTAAAATGTGGACCTTTTAAACATGAAAAACTTTCGTAGGACGTATTTTCTTGTAAAGTTCATATTTACTGAGATATCGCACTTTGACGCACTAATGAGCAACCCTGTATATCAAAATAAAATAAAAAATGTGTATTTATCAGACGAAACGTTTAGGCGTAAATTACCATTTCAGATGAGTAGGTACCATTTACCGTTTAAAGCCAAAATGTTAGGATCGAAATCCTAATTTTTCAACATAAAACGGTGTGTTTTTGCTAAATAATGGAGCCAGAAAATATTTTTTTACTTCTCAATATTCTATGAGAAAGTCCTCTAAGTTCCATACTTAGACAGCAAAAAAGTTCACAATTAACCAAAACTCAAAAACAACTACAAACTAAGCAATTGAAAATTTTTCGCAGTAAAAAATGCGTAGCTTCTTTATTAATTAATAAATCGTATACTACTTTTGGTCCTCAACAACACATTTAAGTGTAATATTTTTAAAAGTTAATAAAACAATTAATGTAATAAAAAATACTTTTTTTCTTCTAGTATTTTTTTAAAAGCTTCAAAATAAATCACCTACTTGAAGAGTTTTTGATTCTTTTCGACTTTTTACAAGAACAAAACAATTTTTCCTGTTTCCTCAGTATTGGATTTATCAACAAAGCAACGTTTCTTTTTGTTTAAATTCAATTGCCCTTGCCATGAATTTATCCCGTCTTTAATTTAATTGCAATTCATGTTGCTTTTAAAACCAGTGTGATGTTCATTCTGTTGCTACTATATTAACTTTTGCGTGTATGTATGTAGTTGACTTAGATTTCAACACCAGTAGATAACGAAAAATATAGGCATTTGTACAGGGTGTCCCGTAAGCACATGATCAAAAAGATACTGCGATGCTCTTTGCATCAAAAGAAGACGATCTGACTTAACTTTTATTAACAACAAATGCCTGGCTCCTCTGATATTGATCAAAGTTCTTAAAAAAAAATTACATTTTTTGAAATATCGGGAAAATAGAACGATGTGTTTTAGTGACACTCGCTGTGAATTTGTTCTTATGTAAGACTCATATTTTGATGAAACAATCGAATTCATCCGTTTTGGACAAGTGCTGAATTCTTGAGTGTCGTGGTACAAAAACTCCCAGAACTTTTTATTTGGTGGATGAAGTCAACTAATTTTTTATTTTTTTTTGGTTGATGGATAACCCTTTTTTTGTTAATAAAAGTTAGGTCAGATCGTCTTCTTTTAATCCAAAGAATATCGCAGTACCCTTTTGACAATGTGCTTACGGGACACCCTATATATAAAAACATATGAATAAACTAAAGAAATACTGAAGAAATCGAAAATTGTTATGGTGAAAACAATGAAAAAATTATCCCTCTCGTCTGCTTGAAAAAGAAAAACACCTAATCAATAAGTAGACTAATAATCAGACTAATATTTTTTAGATTTGCTTCTCGCTATCCAGTAGAAGTAGCAATTATATATCAAAAGTGTTGGATGCAATTCTCTTCACTTTGTCATGGATTATTGGGCGGCTTAGGATTGGGCCATTGGCTATACATAGTTTGCAATTTTAACACTCAAGATCATGCCTTTTTAATTCATTACGCTTACTACAGTGGTATTTACGTAGGACTGTTCTTCGCTCTGTGCGTAATCTGTCTTGTGTCTGTTTTTGATCGGTGAGTGCACAAAGTTATTTAGAGAAAGCGAAAGTTTTATAATTCTTTTACAGGCTGGATGTGGGTCACCTCCAATCCCACGACTTAGCGGAGTTTTTCAAACAAAAAAAATGTTCATTTCTTGTGATTGTCTATGTGACCTGTTTAACTATTCATTTAGCAACTGCACCATATGATGAAAAACTGTCCCTCTTAGCCTATAGAAATCACACAGCTATTGGTAACTCTGAAGGGAATCATACAGTACTATTTACAGAAAACAGTACTTTTCTGGAGACCACAGTAAGTATTTTTTAGTAATAACTAAAATAGTAGTAGCTTTGTTTTTTATAGATAACATATTCGGAACTTAAAACATGGAATCACTTATCATTGTGGAGGGCGCTCCTTGCTTTTGTCGCATGGATAGTTCTTGGCTTCCAACCACCAGAAGACATGCTTCAGAATCATTTAAAAAGCATGGAAGCGTATCTTCCAGACAAATAGTACATGGATATTTTAAAACGATATCAAGAATTATCTTAACTGTATGTGATATTGTTAAACATATATCTTTGAAAGAGACTGCGGCGACTTGAAAAAAATAAATATAGCATTTATTATTCAAACATATAAGCCCTTTTCCAAATTTTGCATCAAAATGCCATCATTTTGGACATCTTAATAGTCAGGTAGTTTAGGAGTCGAACTGTTTAGTTCATAATAAACTTTTTGTGTTCATTAAAAATCAAGCAATAAACAAAATAAAAAAAAACGGAAATTAAATGTATGAGCGAATTATGAAAACATATAGATTTTGTCAGTGTGCATGATAAAACGACTCCAGTTGCAAGATGTCTGAGAAGTTACGAAAATAATGTATATTAATATATAAATAAATGTAAATATTTTATCTTAACAATACTTGGTGCTAAATGTATGCTTGCTATTTTTTCCAAATAATTTAAAGTTGCTTTTAAATGTATTGCTTCATTTATTATCTTATCTTTTTCAACCACACACATTCATATAAGTCTATTTTGACAAAAATTAGTTAAAAATAAAAATGAATATTTTACTATGAACAATGAAACACAAGAAATGATCAATTTACCTATTATAAACTTTTCCCAAAAAAAATCTGTTCATTTTTTCTTGTCTATAACACTACAAATTTTCATAGTTAATAAGGTTACAAATATGTATAATTACTTTGAAAATGGTGTAAGTCCACTTTCCTCAAAAACATACTACTATTTAGATCCAAATTGTACTACATACTTTCTTTAATGCATCATATGTGTAGCAACATTTTAAATGACAAATATTTTTATAGTTTCCCGGAATTTCGGTTTTTTATAGAACTATTATTATATTTATTAGATAATATATAATTTATTATAGAATATAATGTCACTGTAAAACATATAGTAATCTGTCGTATTTGTCCACTTATCTTCAATGGGGTGAGACGTATTATTCCATCATATTACACAATACAGGGTGTTTGCATAATGAGTTAGGAATTTTTTAAGGGTGATTCTACATGCTAAAATAATGGTAGTAAGTCATGTAAGAAAAATTCGAAATTTGACCTGATCTATTTTCCGAGTTACAACACATTCAAGAGTTTCTTTATCAGAAAGTTATAGACCACTAAGCTGAAACTCAGTTCCAATTTTCAATTTGATCCGCGACGAAATGTGCAGAATAGGTCAAAAATAAAAATAAAAATATGAAGTTTGATCAGAAAATAATACATGACATTATTTTAGCATGTAGAATCATCCTTAAAAATTTCCTAACGTATTATTCGAACACCCTGTATAATAATTAAAATGGAAAATTTCAATTCATAATCAGACAGTGATTTATAACATAATCAGTTCAGACCCATCACGTTTGAAAAATTTTAAGCTGCAAATGATTGACTTAAAATTTCAAAAATATTTTTAGTAAGAGTATAAATAATTTTGGTTGAATGGTAAGCCTTTGTATTTTGTTATTTAAAAATTTTTTTTATTGTTGAACTATTGAATAACCATTTTATAAAAATAAATTGGTTTGTTTCAATTCCCCCGATCCCGATATTAATATTTTGTAAATGTGAGATTTTTGCTTCCTGCTGACTTTCAAAGTGGTGCAAGTCCTTTCGAATTTATTAAAATTATAATTTTAAATCAATTTAATATTTAAAAAATACAAAATTAGTGTAATCACATGTGCCCATATTTTTTAATTATTCAAATGCAAAACCTTAAATACCTACCTAAATCCATATTAAATAAAATACACTTTTAAAAACGGCTCATATGATTGTTCAATAAATAATTTAAATATTTTACATTTTTTTGAGAATTCCCAATCATTGTTTGTTTCCAATGAATCAACACATCCCATCTCAAGTTCGATAATTTTATAATTTGGCACAAAAAAGGTTCAACAAAATTCGTATGTTTTTGATAAACTATTAGCGATGTCGACACCTTGATATCAGTTCGGTAACATGTTCAATTGGTAAATTAATGTTTCTCAGTAAAAAAGGTTGAAAATACGAATTTAATTTTGTTAGAACTTCAGTAAAATATAACAATTGGGCATAATAAATCTTAAAATGGCTTTATTATCTTTAATAGTAACATCGTAGAAAGAGCTTCGTCAAAACGAGAATTAATGTTTAAGCTATCAACATATACAGAGTGTCTTAATAATATGAGAAATCTTAAAGGCGTGATTCTACATGGAAAATGAAATTTAAAATGGCAAAAAGAGCCAAATTAATAATTATATTCGAAATCGCTCGAGTTGTTTTGAGAATATTTTCTACGTATATTTTATCTCACACGAACATAGCAATCAACTGCAACAGTTGCGTGCGTGCGACCATTCACCTACTTTAATATTTTTAAAGGCAGGAATTGTACGTCATTGTTCTTTTTTCCGACCTCAAAGATATTTTTTAATTATTAAGAAATTTGAGAAACAAAAGCCCTTGTGTGTTCTTAGATTACTCCCCTGGGATGATTTCATGATGATTTATGATCAGTCTCCGATAAAAGGACCAATCGGTTCTACCAAATCGATGACAAAACTTTCCTTAAAATTACAAAAGGTTTCAATAATATTGGAACGAATAGGCTCGTTTTTGAAATCTGCAATTTATTTTTAATACATGGTGGGAGTTACATTAATGTGGCATTTGCGAAACATTTATGCTTTAATTATATCTGTTTATAAATGCAGTGTGTTCAACGGCAAATAACGCTTAACAAACATATATACATATATCAATTTTTACAAAAAATGTATTAAATCAACATCAAAGACAAACACCAAAAAAAATAAAAGGAAGTAAAAGTTTACTGTTTCTAAATTTTAAAATCCAATGAAAACTAAAAGGCTTAGCAACCAAAATTACTACTAGAATCAGTCAGATTTATCGACTAATATTAGATTATTAGACTTCTCTGCTAACAAAACAACATTAAAGCACTTTGCTTTTGAATATATTCGAAGCGACAACCATCAAACTGATATACTTTTTGATAGCTGATGCTTCAAACAGGTCATTTTGGGTCGGTGCAGCCTTTAAAAGTTGGATAATAAAATAAATATATACAAACTAACACTAATTGATATTCAATAAGAATACCATTATAAACATACTTAAATACATAGTCCTCGATTCGGTTGAATTACAGCCAATGTTACATAAGAAAAGTGCAACTGGACAAGGCTCACACACTCAGCTTTTAATAAAATATTGAAAATTCAACAAATAGCTAACTTCTTGAAACATTTGCAGTTTGAAAAGAGGATATAAAAATATGGATTTTCTTATTATAGCTTATAGAGGTAGACATAGCGAATAACAATAAATCTGTACTGTACCAGTCGTATAGAATTCAAGTTGATAGTAGCTTAAATTTTTAAGCTAAACACCATACTCAAAAACTGCTCATAGTGGATAGTGATAATGCCATCTTGATCTGTATCGTACATTCTAAACGCCGATGTCAAGGTCTGAAAGTAACGGAATTATAAATGCTCAAAAAGATTCAAAACTGCGTCAAAACGTGGTCGATGAAGGATTATAAATTATACAGACAATACATATATACAATTATAATATACAATTCGACATGCCACAATGCGTTATTGAAATTGTATACTTTGTCACACTAAACGATACGAAAATAAGGCTTATTAAATCAGATACAGTCGCAGTAAAAATGTATAATGAAACTCGTTACATACACATTACTGTACATGTTTCTGTTCTTAAATACTTAATCAACTTTTCCAAGAATGAAAATATTGCAATGTGTGTTATATTCATTTATGTTTTAGTTTCCTTGCATTTGTATCCAACACCAACACATCCCATGGGTACTTACATGCAGAACAACACAGGCTTGGATAAAGTCATCAAACAAAATGGTCCCATTTCCGTATCTATCAAATTTCTTAACCATTAAATTAATTAAGGTGTCTGAAATTCTATATCCAAAATTGTGTAACGCGAGCTTGAATTCTTGACGATCTATATTCCCGGAATTATCGAGATCAAAGGAATGGAAGCAAGCTTGCCAGTCCGACACATACTTCCAAAGCGCGCCGAAATCTTCAAACGATATTTGACCTCTGTTACTGCGATCAAACATTCCTAAAAAAAGGTGATGCATGTTTTAAATTATTGATATTAATAAATTAAAATTCAAATCAATTAATTGCTTCGAGTTAAACAAAATATGTTATCCAGGCAAAGAAAATGTGATTCAAAAAATCCGGAAATGCGTTCAGAAGAATTCGAGAGAATCAATGAGTTCAGAAGTGGTGGAAACCGCAAAATTGTGGGAAACGACATTTCCCATATAGTGAGTGCGAGGGCCTAATTATATAGATGATTACCAGATAGACTATGAAACTTTCAGATAACAAACATACCAAAAGAGGCTTAATCCTTCAAAAGTAATAGAATTTAAAAACGTAGTCATTTGGCTGCTATAAGTGAATGTTGGTGACAACATTCTCAGGTAAATTCTCATGTGTTATTAACATAAATTACAATATAACATATACTTCTTTAAATAACTATTTTTCATACCCATCATAAGTCTTACAGTCTCCGGATTGAAAGGTTGCCATGTCCCATTAGATAGGGCATGTTGCAGTTCGTCGGCATTGATAGAGCCACTATTGTCCCGATCAATCCTGAAATAGTTAAATACATTAGAAATCAAACAAACAGTGTATAAAATATTACACAATTGATACGTACTTCCTAAAAACACCTCTTAAAAAGTCGGGGTTTGGCATTGGTGAATTGAACGTCATTTTGTTCGCCTGAAACGACCTAATGAAAATTATAATGGAATCGAGAAATTCTAATTGGGTTTTCTTGAAAAACTATAACTTGCACAATAACTGACTCACAAAAACAAAACAGTTGTATTTAAACGTCACAGTCAAAATTTAGACAATTAACTGACAGCTCTAATCAAGGAAAACCCAAACGGATTAACCAATGACATCACTTGATCAGGCGCGCGAACTCAAATCTATGTCTATTTGGTATATTTTGTAGAAAATGGAAAAAAAAGTGAACAATGTTTAAGCCTTCTGTATGGAAACTTGAATGACTGATTGAACTGAATAAATGTTGTGTTTATAAATATGTTTTATTTTATAGGGCCTTATTTCAATATAATTTATAGTCAGAATGACTGCCAAAATGTTATTTTCAAAATATTTTTTTCCTGATCATTTGTCCCAAATTCTTGATCAAATAAGTATTTTTTACAAATAAATTATTTTAAAAAGATTGGCATTAGGTAGAAAAGGACGCTGGTTGCCTAGTAACCAAAAGTTCCAGTCTCACTTTGACAAACTGGTGACTGAACAATCTGGACATTCCCTGACAGATTCCAGAAAAATAAAAACAAAATAGGGTTATGGGAGTAATAATTTCTCAGAAAGTCAGCGAGATCAATTGAAACTGCTGTTATTAGATAAAATTCATCGTTTCAAAGCGTAATTTATATTAAATACTATGGCTTTACCTCCCCGCGAGTATCTCTGGTCAGTTTTTGTCAGGTGAGTAATCTTTAGGATGATTCTGAACGTATAACATAAGTAATTACCAAAAAGTCGGTTTTCGTGTTTTTTATCTTCGGCATCTACTTGCTACAAATAGCTGTATTAATGCCAATCCATGTTATGTGAGGCTCCAAGATGTATATAGAAAGTTTCTTAACTATGCCAGGAAGCTTTTGGAATTGGTGTAGACGCCAAAAACTCAAATATATTTTTGCTTCATAAAGTTATTCGCCTATTATAAGGTTAAACGCGCCTGAAGAGCACCCGCCCCATTTTTCGTTTCTGCTTTGCTTCTTGCTCAGCAAAGCATAACACATAGAACTCGAATCGTCGTACACAAGCTCAAATATAAATAATTTATAACTCAAAATTTTAGAACTTGCATTGAAATGAACTGAATTTCCTATCTTAAGTAGCAGTTATACACTTAATTTCCGTCTGTAAGTCCGTTCATAGCTAGAAATTGATAAGAAACAACTTTATTTAAAGAGTGAAGAAATGCAGCCAAGAAACTGAAAAATTGCAATTAGGGAATTGGGGAAAACGTTTAAACTTTGATACCTACTATCTCTATTCAGCAGGCAGTAAAGACGAGATGAAAGCGAACGAACTAATGAAATATATTAATAATAATGGCCTTAAACTTTAAAATGCAAATTTTCAATTAAATCGATATGCAGGTCGCTATCTGGACCAAATCATTATGAAATGTTTAAAGAAACCCGTGGTTTTTGAGATAGAAGTTCTAAAACTTTGACTTACAAATTTAAAATGTTTGCTTTTAACGTTGTAAAAGTTAAGACCTACCAACAGAAACTAATTACTAAAAGCAGTTATTTCTCTTACGAGATAAAGAAGCTTAAACTTCGCCGGTTTCTTTAATTGTGATTAATTTGCTTATTAATTAAAATATAATTAACTTTTTAAAAGTTAAGAAATCTTGTTAAAACCGAAAGAGCGCAGTTCTGGAAACGCCACTCAAGCAATGGCTAATTAATGTTTGTTAAAAGTGTTTATTTTCTCGCTTCGTTCTTATTTTAAATTAATTTACTTTACTCTTGTCTGACAAACGGTATACATACATATAGAGAAAGTTCGTTCTCGAAACACTCCGCCAGCTAAATCCCTAAGACAATTTAAATTTGAAAATATGTTCAATGGCTTGCAAAATACATAGTTTTACCACCTCTAAATACCCAAAAATTGTTGTGCAATTGGTTTGCTCCCATTCGATTAGAATCACGTATGTATAAAAAAATTTTCGCGCTGCTGCGGGAAATGTCTTTCACTGATTTGGATATTTTAAATTGGATTTTTTATTTTTGAAAAAGTTGTTGAGTTTTTACATTAATCTTGTATTTTAAAAAACAAACAACCTTAAGTGAAGCAAAACATGTATACAAAATAAATGATTTTTTTATATTTTAATGTGATCTACCGCTTTTCAAATATTGGCGCTAAATTTATAGAACGCTCTTTATAAGCTGCGTATTTTTGGACGGATATACAGGGTGATTCAAAATTGGTGTCATTCCTCTGGAGGTGTTGTCTGGCGCTATTATAAGAGTACAGAAAAAATAGTAAAATAAATTAATTGTTATTAATTAAAACTAACTAATTATTAATTAAAACAACATTAAAAACTGAGAAATTTGCAAAAAACTATATCAGAAATACGGCCGCAATGTTTTTCAATGTAATGGAACAATTTCTAATTAATGCTTAGTAACAAAGTTGAAATTTGATCTTCAACTGTTAATATCTTCTAGAAATTCTCGAAAACAAATTTTTCTCGTACTCCCCACGTGAGCCTCTATCACCCCTTAAAAGGAATGACGCCAATTTTGAATCACCCTGTATATTTCATAATTAACAGTTAACTCATTTTACGCAGATTTTAAGGTATTTTCACATACAAAACGACAAATTATGACAACATTTAATTAGTGCAAATAAATTATTTTTTATTATAGCGTTGACCGAGATAAAAGTGGATATATTAATGCAAATGAATTGCAACAGGCTTTGTCTAATGGAACTTGGAACCCGTTCAACCCTGAAACGGTTAGATTGATGATGGGTTAGTAACGTTACACTCATATTATTTCCTACATTTAAATCAAAAGAATACATTTTAATGATGAATTTTCTGTAGGAATGTTTGATCGTGAGAATCGAGGCCAAATATCATTTGAGGATTTTGGAGCCCTTTGGAAGTACGTTACTGATTGGCAAAACTGCTTCAGATCGTTCGATAGAGATAATTCAGGAAATATTGATAAGAACGAAATGAAACATGCTCTTATGACTTTTGGTTACAAAATATCTGATAATCTGGTAAATACACTAATTCAAAAGTTCGACAGATTTGGAAATCAAACTATTCTGTTTGATGACTTTATTCAAGCTTGCATATTACTACATGTAAGTTTAATATCATATAGTCTAAGTGTTGCTAATTTTAATAACTATTTATGTATTTTAGACACTTACTAGCGCATTCCGGGCTTATGATCAAGATCAGGATGGAATTATTACCATTCACTATGACGACTTCTTATCAATGGTGCTAAGTTTGAAAATTTGATTTTAATTTTAATGACGTACATAAGTTCCATTATATTTACAGTCTCTGTAACTATTAATTCAATGTTTCTTTATCGGGCTAACATGTATATTTTGTAGTTTCGCTCGGATTTTCTTGGATATGTGTAATATAAGAGACAGTAGTTATAACAATTAGATTTATAATTATATATTATACTGGACCTTTATTCCTGTTCAATATTATACTTTTGTCATATGAATGTCTATTGTGTAGTTCGCAAACATTGAGATGCTTTTATTGTTATGTTATACTATCCAGTTAGATAATTTTATTAAAAACATTTTGTAATTCTATTGTCTGATATTACATTAAAATCCCGTAATGTATCTTCAATATATAGCACACGTTTTCGTTATTTTTCATAAATCGGGTAGAGTTACAAGCTAATTTTACAGACATGGTGTATTAAAATTGATAATTTTTAAATATGTAATTTCATTGTAACATTAAGCATCTATTTATTCCAAAAACATTTCATCACAACGCATATTATAAATTTAAAAAATAGCACCTGATTTATGATCATTATGGAAACTTGGTACGAGTACGACCTTTATTTTATCCCGGTGTCGGTTCGATTACTTAAGTTTTTCTTGCGATTGAAAATATTAACGTGCATTGTTTATATCGAGACCATTTTTTTAAGTCTTAAGATCCTTTAAGTTGAACGATTTTTAGGCGCGACGTCCCCAAAAATTAGCATCCGACGATTTGCTGATATTGTGCACCACCAAAATATTAAAGCCTGCGCCACCACTGTTTATTAAATTAAATTAAAGCGAGTCTGTACCAGAGAATTTTCTATTATTATATCTTCTATTTGTGAGATGCCCTGTATTTTATTAATTTAACGAAGTGTCGGATTTTATTCCAAACCGCGAGGAATGAATCACTTCTGCATATTAGTGTAACGATTTTTCGGATTAAATGTGCACTTGGCTTAAGAAAAAATGTATAAATCTACAAATTAAGCGGTGCCTTTTTTACTGTCCTTTGTTTTCCTGAGTTGCTCTTAATTTAATAGAACAATGGCAATAGTGCCGAAGGCGGTGACACAAGCTGTCATCAACAGCTGTATTGTTGTTTAGTGAACAGACAAGCCATACAAATAACATGTGGATTGTTGATTATTTCTTCTTTGAGCAGTAATTAAGCATGTAAAGTTCGGTTTAGCAGGAAGCGGTTGTCAGCACCAGAATTCTGTTTTTTAGGTCGGAGCTTCAATTCGCACACTTTCAGTGTTTCATGCCTGTTTTCAAAGATCGTTTATATAGTTTAGTTGAATATTATTGATATTATGTGGTGAAAACGTGGTTCCTTGCTTAATCCTAGGTAAGAACATTCGCGAACCGCAATGATCGCCATTCACTTGGAATAGCACTGATTTCATCCTCACCATGTGTGAATGGCACATAACATTAGCTTATCTGGAGAGTCATGGTACTTATTTTAACTTTTTTTTTATTTAATTTGTATGCTGTATTTAACACACTTTTTGTTAATCGTAGTTTAGTGCCATTATTAATTTTATTGCTCTACCCCTATGTCACAGCTTTATTATCATCTCTATTTTTAGTAAAGATATGCACATAAATACATAAAAGTTTATCATTTCTCCTTCATAAGCAGCCTTTATTCAGGGCTATTATACCATAAAGTCAACTGGAACAGATAAAAAGGTCATTACCAGGTTTATTGTTCTAGGTACATGTTCTAAAACCAGGGAGCTACATGGTTTTTACTAATTCAAGTCGATGTACTAATTCTTTGCTAGAGGGTTTAGGACCAACCGTTCGAATGTTTTTTTTATGAATAGGTATATAATTGAATATTATGCATTTGTGTGTGTAGTTTTGATACTTTTTCCACCACTCTATCTTCATTTTTATTAGCGTTTTAATTTTCTATCGCCTTCATTCTGCTTAGTTTCAGTTGTTTACCTTCCTGATTACTCCGTAGATTTCGCGGCTGGTTTTTATTTGTAGGTATTAACTTTTTGCAATAGGTATTCCTTAAAGTTGATTACAATTTTGTAACATCATCATTAAAAATTTTTTTAATGATTTTTCATTATTCTATTGCAGTGTTCTTATTTCTTAGTAGAGTCTTCTTAGTCTTCGTTTTACAAATAATGTTATTATTTCTGTTCATATCCGGGATTCCTTTTATTGCGTTTTTTCGAGTCGAAAAGTCACGAATCTCTCTCAGCTTCTCTGGACTTTCGTTTTCCTCTTTTTACTTCTCTACTACCCACATTTCTCTCTAGTAGGTATATTCTAGCATTTATTTTGCCTTGTGTTTTCTTATATTGGAACACTTCTTATATTCTGCATAGAGCTTTCAACTTAGTAGGTTGAGTGTTATTGGGACTATAAAATTAGGTTGATTATAGCAGAATTGATCAGTGAAACTGATTCTCTAGAATTTTTTGGCTCAGACACAATCGGTCCTCAAGAGTGTGTTAGTGCCCACTTTTGTTTTTATGTATTTTGTTGCTTTTTTGTTTTGTTTGTTTTGGATAAATTAATTGTACTGTAGAACAGCTAATGGTTGTCTTTGGTACTTCTCTCTTCAAATTCAATTAAATAGTTTTTCTCAGCTTCTGTTTCCAGTGTTTTAACTTTTGTCTGGTTTTATATAAGAAAAAAACTGTTTTTCTGTTGGAACAGTTTTACAGTTGACTATAATGTTCATAACATTATCGCTTTATATAAACAATGAATAATTTCAAATTTTCAGATAAGATTCGCGCATACTTTTAACAATAAGGCAGCCAACCACACAACCTATTATGTATATAATTAAGCTTATTAGGCAATGTTTCCTATAATTACCTACCGAAACTCTGCTCGAATAGTAAACTTACCGTTCACTATTTAAATTGGTTGTGATGATAATGAGACAATTTTGCGTTTCCAGTTCTAATACAGTAATTTAGTGGAGTTTTGTGTGTGCGATATCAGCTGGTAAGGAAAATGTTTGAATCCAGTAAATAAACCAATAGGAATGTACGCTAGGAAAGCATTAGTTGCACATTGTTCTCTTGAAATGAGTTTATGCACATACACTGATGCGGTTTTTAGAAAGTTTGCTTAAATTTGTTGAAAAATTACGACAAGATTAGTCCAAGTAAACTTTAACCTTCACTACGAAGAAAACCCGCGTTACACATTTCTAAATATAATATTTTACTAACAATGTCAGATATTTCATTCAGAAGATAACAGCCACTGTTTCGTCTGTAAGTGTTGCGATGGCATTAAAAATAGACTGCAATAATTCTTTGATAGCATGATAATTCTAATGGATTTAATCTAATTAATTATGCGGACATACTATTAAAGGTTGGCGAATATCATTCATGGGTTAATATGGCAATTTGAATATAATAGATAGATTGTTAATGTGCAAATGTTTAAGCTGGTAGTTCAGTTTGCGTTCATTTTGCCTCAAAAGATATGAAATAAAGGCAATGGGGTCAGACATACAGAGTGTCCCGTAAGCACGATCAAAATGGTACTGCGATATTCTTTGAATCAAAAGAAGACGATCTGGCCTAACTTTGATTAACAAAAAATGTCTGGCTCCTCTGCTATTGATGGTCAAAGTTCTTCAAAAAATTTATCTTTTTTGAAATATCGGGAGAATGGTTAGATTATTTCATTAAACTCGCTGTGAATTTGTTTTTATGTAAGACTCGTATTTTGATGAAATAATCGAGTTCAGCCGTTTTAGACAAATAGCGAATTCTTGAATGTCGTGGTACAAAAACTACCAGCACTTTTTATTTGATGGATGGAATCAACACATTTTTTTTTGGTTGATGCTCTAATCGTTTATTCACAATTTTGTGCTTTTTGTAAAATCTTAAAGCATTCATAGTTTTTGCGAAAAAAGTTCTGCTTTCTTGCCACTTCACAATGTTAGATATTACAGTCTTGACTGACTTAAGCAACTACCCTTAAATGAAACAAAACTCCAAACTTTATTAACTAACAAACATACACCTGCTTATAGGCCAGAAAATCTAATCATATTTTAATACTAGCATGTTTTATTGCTCACACACACACTAGAACAACTGTTCAGTCCGTGGGAAATTCATTAAAGGAACACAAGTTAGTATTATCCAAGGGGCGGCACTTCCCGGTAAGGGTGTTGTAAATATGGCACCATAACTCACTCAAATTGCCAAAGAATGGTAGTCAACTTGCAGAATATCCAAAGTAATAGTGATTTTGCAAAGCTTCAGTTTGAAGAATGTCTACAACTTTCCTTACAGAGCAATGGCAATATCATCTGCATGTCGCATCCCAGAATTTTTATGACTCTGTATATAGACAAATTATCCAGACACCTATATCGAAAAAAAAAACATTCTTACTTTGAAATTAGTAACACGTTTCTAGGAAAAGTTCAACTGCTAGTTTTATTGACTGCGTTCTACAAATTCAGGATGTAGGTATTTGCTCTGGAGAATTTATTAGATAACTTATCAAGTTAATATCTATGAAAATATTAGTTTTTTTGTATTTTTCAGTTCAATTAATTTAATTGAAATATACGTTTTTTTTGCCTGCATACGTAAGTACTATTTTGAAACTGTCTTAAATCTAATTCTTCCATAGAAACAAAATTATTCTCATGACCCTATCATGTTAGTTGCTTCTTACGTAATGGAAACATAATAATCGATATTGAATTCGTAAAGAATATGCGATAGATGACCTACTGTCTGATAATTTGTATTTTTAACCGCATATAGGTACTATGTATATTAATTTAAAAAAAAACATGTTAACACAATATTACTTGAAAATGTACTCTAGTTCTACAATAGAAAGCAAGAAATATTATAATTTCACCGATTCTCTCTTTAATCTAATGGAATTCCGATTGCACATAGGTGTGTAATAGGTAATAAAAAAGTGACCTTGTGCGACAACATCTATTAGTTTAATTAGACGATTATTGCCCATTCCACGAAATAAAATGGCTCTGACTGTGGATATCTTTATGCACCTTCAAGTTAGGTATAGCAAAAAACTTTTGACACCTCTAGCCGAATTTGTATAAACAATAATATACATCGTGTTCACTTAGCATTGCGACCTTTAAGTTAAATCAAATAACATGTTTAAAAGCTATTTTTATGGAAAACTTGTTAGATCCCAAATGTACTGACCTAAGGCGACTTTCAATTTTGTGTTTTAAGTAATTCATCCGCCAAGGTTTTTATTTTAAACTTAAACAGTTTTTTAATTAAACAACAGCGCATGATTTATCTTTTTAAAAAGGTGTGTTAGGTTTTTATACATTTTGGTGATGGATCAAAAACTATTAGTTTATTGTTAATGCACTCGTCTTCAAATGAGGGCAATAATGTCGTTTTCTAAACATTTTTTTAATGTTATTTACAAAAATTTCGTTATTTGCTGCCTGTTTTGACCATGCCGGATTAACATTAGAACATTTAGACGTTTTGTAATGGAATGACCAACTTGTTGATACATTATCTTCCTAAAAACGTTTTTGGTTCTTCAATCGATGGTGGTGGAACAAACATATTTTTTATTGTTAATAAACCGAGTATGTTTTTCAGTTGCCATTTGAAACCAGTAATACTACCCGTACCCAAACATTTTTTTATTTTTTTTTTACAAAATGTTTAACTGCATAATTTTGTAAATATAATAGCTACTCGCAGGAATTTCATCTACTTCACTAGTCTGTTTATTTTCTTAATTATTTTGTGACTTAATTCGAGTAGTTTTTTGTGTATAAACATTGACCTCTCCTTAATCTGAATATCACAAACAGGCAGAAGCCTAATTACAGATTGGAAAATATTTGGAACAACGATTGTTAGAAAATCATTAAATTTTCACTGGTACTTCCTTCTAAACGTGTCACGTCTTTATGTTTATTTTACCACCAATCTCGGTTTTGCAGTCATTTTTATATTTACTATTATGTGAAGACACAATTAATAAATGCCTGTCTAACAAAAGTGGTTATTAAGAAAAGAAATGGTTTTTCATTTGCCATATAAAAACGTTGCATACTAACTCAGGACAAAGCAAAGTCGACTTACGACCAGTTTTGCCACTAAAAATATTGCAGCAGTTCCATTTGAATTTCGCATTTTCTAATCGCCCTGTATATGCCATTCTAATTTAAAACTATGCTTCAATCAGCTTAATTATCATCTCCCTTTGCCCATATTGAAACAGTGTTAACAAATACGACTTAGTTGTCTAAGGCTAGGATCCTAACACGACCGTGCCCTGTATATGCAGACTTGATTTTATTGTTTAGATTATTAATGTTATTTGTTTGTTATAGCTGAGTCATTAGCATGGGAGACGCAACCGATGAAGATGACTATTTTGATACAGTATCAGTGAATTCCACACGCAGTAAACGAAAGCTGAACAACAACGATTATATTGCGCTTTCCCGAAACACCCTGTATTATTCAGTCCCAGATTTGGGGGGCAACAATATGGAGATGACAGAGCTGCAAGATAGCGGCCACAAGGTCTCAGGCAACAAAAACATTCGAACCTATACACAGTGGAGAGATAGGGTATTGGAAAATTCTAAAAACTACCTAATTTTGCATGAAAATCTAACTAGGTATTACTTTCGATCACTATTCTTACCTTATTTCGCCACTGCTATTGGGTTATGGTTATTTACAGACTGAACAATTATTTGTTGTTTAACCATGGTTCGAATAAGGAATTTTATGCAAAATGCACGTACAGCATGTACAGTTCTCACAAAGCAAATGTAGATGTTAGATAATCTAGCATACCTAGATACAAACATGTCCACTAGTACTTCGCAATGAAAAATATAATTTATGCTCATCTTAAATTCTGAATATCGCAGTAAAGAAGAAAAACAAGCTTGACAATCTCTGAAGTAATTGCAACTAATGAAAGGCAACGATGATTGTCTATTGTAACACATCAGTCCACTAACAGTTCTGTTCAAACGACTAAAATTTGCAGTTCAACGTTTTGGTATATGTAAATACATTTTATCAGTTTAGCACTTAGTAATATCCTAAATTTCTTACATTAAATGGAAAAATGTGTCTGATGAAAAAATGTGTTTAAAATGGTTCTACCAGAGGTTTTTAGTTAGGATATGTTTGCGATAAGCCAATGATTAACCATGTGTGTAAGTACAAATATAAATAAAAGTTTATAATTTAACATTGTCATTCTACACAGGGTAATTTATGGTGAGTCTCTTGCGAGGTGTTTAAGGAATATTAGGTGTAATGTTCTGAAGTTTTGGTTACTTTTTTCTAGATTTATTAACAACTATATTCAGCTAATTTTTTTATAAACCATACATGGAGGACTCTGTAAACGTTTTAGGTGTTGATACATTTCGGACTTTGTTTTGGATAAATATTATTTCTTTCTGTACTTTTGCGCTATTTATTGGCTAAAAAAGTCAATAATTTTGATGTGAAAAATTGTCGTGAGTAGTGCTTCACTTTCGCCCAGACATCTGAAGTTTTAAAAACGATGTATTCCCGAAATGGGCTAAAAATCTCGGCTTTAAACCAGTTATATCTACCAAAAATTCCTAGCCTGTAAAAAGATGGAAGCAAAAATTAGAAATCTTATTGCAGTTAATAGTTATGAAACCCAAAAGTATTTGAAGAGTAATAACAACAATTTCGCTGTTCAATGCTTCGAGAGCTAGTTATTTAAATTTATTTCTTAAAAAATATGTACATACCCGAAATTGGATGAATTTCTAAACTTTCATATGTATTTTCCTTGATATCTCGCGCAAATCGTCAATCGTTATCTGAATAATATTTAGTATATTTTCGTTAGCATCTTGAGGCAAGGACATATAAATTTAAGCGGTTACATCTCGAAAACTATTAAAAATATCTGAATAATTAGTAGATTTTTTTCCTTACTGCTGTTCTCGGTTACTACTCAACCTTTATCGGAAATTTCTCATCTTTGAAACTTTAGAATAAAGTGTTAACCGTCCAAGCTTAAAGGTTTTTATACATAATTTTATTTCACCTAATCAACATTCAAAAGCACCGTTTTGCCGAAGTGATCTGTTAAAAATATTTACGAAAGTCTCCTTCGGGACGTTAATGTTTTTTGAATAATCTCTAAGAGACTTAAAATTTGAAATCATGATGATTAATACGACAAATATTAAGAATTGATAAAAACTTTTAGCAAAAAGGGGATTCCGTTGCAGAGCTGGCCAGATTTTATCACAAAATAATGCGCTCTCGTCGTGTTCAAATAATGATCAAGTAGTTAACTTCGCAAAATTGAATCAAATACCGGTCTAATTTAGTTTTATATAATCGCAGATACAACGAAATCAACGGCGTTTCGTGATTTAGTTGTCATATTTTGGTTTTTTAAATACTTAAATTGGCTCAATTGAATGTATTTTCCTACCGACGACTCTTTTCGATCAGACCTTTTGATGCAACCATAAAATGCAAAGTGATCCATTTAAAGGTCGAAATCATTAGATAAAACAAGCTCGTTTACATAGGTAACTAAAATAAGAGTTTTTACCTACGGATTTGAATAAACTTTTATTAGGAATCTCACCGCTAATGATCTTATATATGCGCTTCATTTTAATGGTAAATAATGAAAAAATCACTAGTTGAAGAAAAGTGTTGTATTGCTAAACTGCTTACAGGGTGTTCCATTGAAAGGTTGAAATCATTAGATAAACCAAGCTCGTTTACAAAGTAACCAAAATATGACATTTTTACCTACATATTTCCATAAACTTTTATTGGGAAACTCATCGTTAATGATCCTGTATGTCCGCTTCATTTTCATGATAAATAATGACAAATTCACTACTGGAAGGAAATGAAGTTGTATTCGTAAATTATTTCCCATCGTATTCATAGGACTGAAGACTTGCAAATGCTAAAAAGTCTTCTTTCAGAGTTGGAGGTATTTTTCGAATTCGGAACTCGTCGTTGATTTTGTTTTGGCTTACGACGAGCAAGGAAAACAAGAGCATGTACAAAGGCGAAAAACTTTTGAAGCAAGCTTGCAACAAACCGGATTAATATTAGAGCGCGAAGTGAACCAGAGAATACACTTTGTCAAGTTACATGTTCCAAGAGAAGTGTTGTGTCAGTATGCTGAAATTCTTAAGCTCCGGATGCCGATCAAAGATGTAAGTTCTACATAAGTTAAAGGTTGTTCAGTCACAATATTTTATTCATTATTTCAGAATGACGAACAACTTCCTAAAGATAACATTGTGACCAACACCGTGCAGAAGTGTTTAGAGAAATGCAGAGTAACTTTAGATCGTAAGAAGTTTCCACCGCAAAAGTACCAACTCACTGCTGAATTCAGTAAAGATAAACCGTACCTGTAAGTTGCTCACAGCAGAACACACTCGCTTTATACTTATATTTTAAAGATTCATATAAAAAGTGTCCACAGCAGAAAACTTGGCTAGTTAATGTTAAAAAACTGAGTGGAAAGATGTAATTTTTGAAAACTGAAGAACCGTTAAATTAGGAAGAAAAAGTGTAGTCGATAGCAGAACATCACTTCTCTTAAATTTTTGTTGCAAAAGATCACCTAAAAACAGTCTACTGTGGAAAATTTGTCCAGTTAATATTGAAGGAGGAGGAGGATTTATGTGTTCAAACTATGTTAAATACGTATTTAATTTTAAGGTTTGATGTGGATTCTCCCGATTTCTTTAGCGACTCTGTCAAAATAACGGTGGCTTCTTATATTTTGGAAAGGGAAAAGTTTGGTCCAGAGGATCAGGATAAGGGTATCAAGCAATTGATTGCCGATGGAACCTACAAGGCCGCTTATCCTCTACATGATGTAAAATTGCTTGAAATGCGCTCAAACTTGGATAATACATAGTCTATTTTAGGGGGAAATTGATGATGCCGGATCGAAACGCCATCTGTTATTCCATGAATGGGCCTCGATTTCCAAGTGTATCAAATTTCAGCCTATAGACGATATTAAGGACTATTTCGGTGTCAAATTGGCTCTCTACTTTACATGGCTGGGATTTTACACTCACATGCTAATACCCGCATCTATAGTGGGAATTTTATGCCTTTTATATGGAGCGTTCACATTACACTCAGATACTCTAAGCCAAGATATTTGCAGTTTGGACGTTACCATGTGCCCATTGTGTGATAAATATTGTGATTATTGGAAATTGAGTGGCAGTTGTACATATTCAAAGATTCAGCATTTAATCGACAATCCGGCTACTATTTTTTTCGCTGTGTTTATGTCGATCTGGGCTGCAATTTATTTGGAATTCTGGAAAAGGTGAGTTCTTTCCTGCATGTCGCATTAATCGAAGATTATTTATTATTTTAAAAGAAGTGTTAATAGGAACACATGGGGCATCTCTCGCTAACATCGTTAGAACAAGTAATTTTTAATTTCACATAAACATTTTTTGGTCTAGGTGTTTACAAATATAATCCGTTTTTCCAAGGCAGAGTTAATTTTTACATGTTTTTACAGATACAGTGCTGAAATAGCTCATCGATGGGGTTTAACAGGTTTCGACTTACAAGCTGAACCTCCTCGACCTGAGTTTTTGTTACGTTTGTCCAATGCCAAAAAGAAGAAACTTAACGTGATCACTCAACTCCAAGAACCAGTCGTGCCTTTTTGGCGAGTGAAACTGCCTTCTATTATTCTCAGTTTTACCGTTGCCTTTTTCTGGGCTTTGATAGCTCTTACTATTGTGATTGGCATTGTAATTTATAGAATGTCACTGCTTACCTCCGATGCCTTATATAAAGATCGAACCAGTGTTCGAATTTACGTGGTTCCGGTAACGGCCGGATTGCTCAATTTGGTTTGCATCGTGATTTTAAACATGATCTACGACCGACTGGCTGTATGGTTAACCGAAATGGAGCTACAGCGAACTCAAACCGAATTCGATGATAGTTTAGCGTTGAAAATTTATATTTTCCAGTTTGTCAACTACTACTCGTCTATTTTTTATATTGCCTTCTTTAAAGGAAAGTTTGTTGGGTATCCTTCGAAGTATAACAAAGTTTTTGGTTACCGACAGGAAGAGGCAAGTTATATTAGATCTATAGATTCTCAATAGTCAAGGTAATTTTTTAAAATTTAGTGTAGTCCCGGAGGTTGTTTAATGGAATTAACAATACAATTAGCCATAATAATGGTGGGCAATCAGGCCATGAACAGCGTAATGGAAATGTTAATTCCGTTTTGCTTTAAAATGTACAATACCTTTATCGTGTCGAAGCGAATAGAAGAAGCGGATACTGAAGAAGAGCTAATTGGTTGCAACCAGTGGACGGCTGACTATAATTTATCGGACTTGCAATCTCGTAGCTTGTTTGCCGAATATTTGGAAATGGGTAAGTTTATTTTTATCTGAGCATTATTAAGTGTTGGGAGAATTATTCATCTAACTGATGCAATTCAGTCTAATTAAGAATGTCGCTTTTAGTGTTGCAGTATGGGTTTGTGACGCTTTTTGTAACAGCCTTTCCTTTAGCACCGTTGTTCGCTCTCATCAATAACGTATTAGAAATGAGATTAGATGCGAAAAAATTTATGAAATATTTTCGCCGTCCAGTTCCTCAACGCGTTAAAAATATAGGAGTATGGTAAGCAATGCTTTGGATTTCTCGGATAATCGGTTAAGTAACTCACCAAACTTACGTTATTACGCAGGTTTTTTAATATTTTTTTGGTGAATTTTGAGGGGAGTTTTCAATTGGGAGCAAGTGTTAAGTGCACAGGGGCAAGGAGACGGAAAGCTCAGAGCTCAGATTTAAGCAAATACTGAAACTAAAAATGTGATTGGAATTTCTCTGTTCATACAGCAAGACACTGAAGTATTATTTTGCTAATTTCTGTATTTCAACATTTCATAGTTTTCCAGGGAAGACTATGAAATGTTCTTCAATAGCGGCAAACCTAAAATACCGATATGTCTTTACTGTGCCAGGTGAAATAACTGTGTCTTTCCTATTTTCTCTTCCAATTTACATCGTTTATTTTATAGTAAATTGAAAAACGTATTATGGAAAACATTTCTGCATCAATAAAAGATACGATGACAGGGGCATAAAAGAACAATTTACAGGACTGTATAGAATATATCGTGGGCTTAAAGCTAAAACTAAAATTATATACGAATTCTTTTTTGGTTATGAAAAACATATTTTGGTACCCCTGTTGGTGTGGCTTTGGGGGACTTGGTCACGTTTTAAAGACAAATGTAGTTTTTTTAATTACTTAGTCAACAAACACAAATACTGCAATTTTGGACTTGGTCACTTTTAGCTTTAAACCCACGATATGGATTTTGTGAAACGTTCTTTTATTAATATTGGAATATCTTACTTTTCACATACTTTAAGTTTTCCACAGGGCCTTTAATACATCTTGACCCTGATTATTTTGCCCAGGCAGTTGCATTAAAGTATGTTTATCATACTTGCAGGTATCAAGTATTGACCGTTATTGGCCGAATAGCTATAGTTTCAAATGCTATGATTATTGCATTTTCTTCGAATTTCATTCCTCGGCTGGTATACATGCTGAAAGTCAACTCGGATCATACAGACCAAGGATTCTTGGAGTTCAGTTTAGCCTATTTCAATACTTCTGACTTCAAACCAGGTGCGTTTGCTTAAGTAATTAATAACTATTTCGAATTTTGAAAACACTTTCTTTTGTATTAAAAGTCTTACCATGTCTGGGTATTCTTCGATTAAACCACAAATTTCACATCGGTTTATCTATTACGTGCTTTTCAAATGTTAAATTGTGGCAAATATTTTTTGTATAACGTATTTTACAGGGAAACAACGGCATTTGCCTAAGGAGGATATTTAAAAAAATATGATATATATTGGCTGTAATAGCAAAAAGTTCAAAATAAATATTATTAATAAATTGACCAAAACGGAAGTATGATTCAATGTGCTGTACATAACCGCCCACATGAAATTTTATAGATTTTTTTTTTATTATGAAAATTAATGATAAAAAAACGCAAACGTTTCTACTTTCTTTGGTGGTAAATTATTTGGCTTTCTGTGGTAAATCTACTAGAATTCATTTTTTATTTTTATGTAATAAATTTGAAGGAAATTTCTATTTGAGTGGAATTTGCGTTTTAATTGACTGAGAACCCAGACATTTTTATCAGTAACTACCATATGAGTGACCAACTCGCACTACAATTGCCCAACTTTAATGTTCAATTCCTTGATTAAGTGAGCTAAAATATTATTAAATGTGCCAACAATATATAGTTAAGAAGACCAATAAAGCACACAAATAGATCTTAGGAAAATTCACTGGAAGAATACTCCAAATAAAGGCCGTATTCCTTTAGGAACTGCACCAGAATCTCCAACATACGATACTCAAGTTTGCCGTTATGCCGAATTTAGAAATCCTCCGGATGATCCACACAAGTACAAAAGACCTTTGATATACTGGCATATACTAGCGGTCCGATTGGCTTTTATCGTCGTGTATCAAAATTTAGTTAGTTTTATTGTAACTGTCGTGGAATGGACTATTCCCGATATTAGTAGGAAACTGAACGATAGAATCAAAAGAGAAGCGTATAAAGTAAATGAAATAATCATAAAGAATGAATCGGAGAGAACGAAAAAACGAAGCAATACTGGTAAGTTTTACACATATAAAGAGGGCTTGTAGTTGAGAGTATACTCAGTCTAACTTATTCGTAGTTCGAAAACGAGACTCGCTTCTTTCGGAAGTTGGAAGTGTGTATCATGATGCAATTAGTGAAGCGGGTGATGTGAAAAATCATCGGTCCACGATGTATTACGATACTGGGGATAGTTAGCGCTTACTGGAATGTCTCAATTTCTTGCCAGTCGTACTTATAACATCCCGTATCCTGTACCTCAATCATCATGTATTCAGATGTATTTATTTTAGAGTACAGCTCTATTTTAACCTTGCATCTTCTTTTTATCAGAATCGTATTGCTAGTCATAATACATCAATGTTTTTCGTGTTATTAATCTAAAGCATTTAATTAATTATTGTTGTTGGCTGTTAAACTATATTTAAGGGCTGTTTCTGTTCCCGAACTAAATGCTATACATATATATTTTATGAAATGTTTCTATTTTATTAAATGCCTAACCAAATCTGATAGAATTATAACTTTTTATTAGAAAGATTTGAAATATTTTAATATGTTGTGCAATAAAGTCCTACATGTAACGTAAGAACACTACAAAACGTATTTTTCTAATAAATGTGAAATTTGCACTAATTAGCGTATGTAATAGAATTTTATGTAACAATAAATCGTGTTTTTCTTCAAACATCCAGACTTTTCCAAAATGCTTCGATGGAACTAAATGTTTGCAATTTTTAAGTATCTATCTAAATCTAGATCACTTAGACATCGAGTATTATATGCTTCATTTATTAGATAAGGATTTTATAAGATTTCCAAGTGTATATATAACTTCCAGAACCTGAAACAAGAAATAACACATTTAAAATAGCTGCCTGATCCAGTATCAAAAGCTTACTTTTCGCAAATATCCATGATTGAAGCGAACTCCTGGGATAATTTCAAAATAAGCTGGTCTTGAGGCTAGTCCCAGAAATA